TCTTTACAATAGATCAGTGATCTACTTCTGTCACCTGTAATTCCCCTATCAGAACAACTAAACTACTTTCACGTGAAACACTCGCCACAACACTACTTGGAAAGGTTCTGACGTAATTACTTGGGTTCAGTCCAAGACTTGCACTGAAGCCGACGGTATTACTAGTAATAGATTAACATCCTTTGGATTAGGTTGCAGTCCACTTAAAGGTCCATAGACCAACTAAGTGTCAGCATCAGCTGTGGTCATGGTCGTTACCGTAGATCCAGCAGCAGAACCCTGGCTAACACCTCCCACTGCAGCTGGAGTGGACTGCATGAGCGCTGGGCGTGCCACCTCTGTCCACTTCACTGAAGATTGGCCAGCTGTCACTGAGGCAGACTGCAGTGTGTCAACTGGAGCTGTGGCCCCCATAGGATCCCCTGGCAGCAGTGTTCTCATGAGCTGGATCACCCGTGGGTGCTTCCACACGGCGGGGGCACCCAGGACAGCGGTGATGCCCAGCTGCATATGCTAGGAGTGACCGTTGAGCCCATGTCTTCTGTCTTCGTGTTGAACAGGCATTGCTGGGGCCTCAGGATGTGAATTGCTCCAAGGTGTAAGGAGGCCTCAGCTCACAGGCAAAGGGACAGCAAGGCAAACCAGTCCTCGAACTCCCTCGGCGAAAATCGGCCCAAAAGCCTGTTCTTGTTTATCATTCTAACCCCCAGTTATAATCAGCTGATCGAAAGACCCAGAGTTGCCCCAAAAACACCTGTCTGCAGAGAATAATGGATTTTATCTTGCAGAGACCAAATAGAGTATACTGGTTTCTGGTTAGCCAATCTACCTCCAAAACCCTAAATGTCGCAATATTTGAAGCCTTTTTCCTACCTCTCAAAATGTACATCTGTTATTACCACAGTGCTCCTTAATTTTTCATCTGTGTGTTGCATTTAAATTGGTTTGCTGTCATGAATTTCTCATTTCAATGCAACTTTTTTGCCAACCTTTTCCCTTGCAGTTAGCAGCATCTAAACTCAATGAGGAAATCTACTAAATGTTGTATCTGAACTGGATGAATGTCTTTGTGTTTGAACAGTGATAAATGTTATCTGTTTTCTAATCAGAGGGTGAAATATTGCCTTTGTTCCCCAGAAATTGTTTTTCAACAGTTTAAGCAAAATGTTTTGTTTTTAGTCTGTCTTCTAACTTTGATATTGTCTCCGAATTTGGAGACAGTTGAATATTGTACACTTATGCACGATACAGTTATGGGTTGTTGAGAGTTCTTTTCAAACATAACTTCATGCATTCTTCACTTCATTGTGATAAGCAAGGAAAATAAGTTTCGGTTGCATTGAGATATAGCATGTGCAGTTTGGAAATTCAAAAACAAATGATAACGTGACACCTTCCTAATTGAAGGAAATGGAAATGTACTTGTAGGAAAAAAATGAACACCGCTGTTTGAGATAGTAAAGTCCACAAGGTGATGTAAATAATATCACGTGCTGAAGAAATAATGAAGCAGCAATTCTTGCCAGACATTGCCAATAGTTTCAGAAAATCATCATCTTCAAAAACATGGCTGGCAGAAGTTAAGGAAAAGAATCTGTAATCAATTTAATACATGGATTAACCAAATGTTTTTGTGAAGTCTCGACCATGCATTTTTTTTGGCGTGCCAGAGAATTTGAAAAAAAATGTTTGCAGCATCACAGAAGAAATAAAACATGAACATGAAACAGCCATTGTGTATTAATAAGGGCATAGTTTTGAGTATGCAGTAGCCACTCTTTCTTAAAAATCAGTCACATTGCTTATGTGAAAAGGTTATGAAACAGGGAAGTGGTCATTATTACCCATATAATGACTAACGTGGCACCTTCTCTTCGTGTTTATAAAAAATACTCATTTTGTGGATTTAGCCTACCAAGAGAATGCTCAGAGTAAAAAAAATGCATTGATGGGGGCGGCAAACAAATCTAGTTATTGAATGATGTCCTGATAAGGCTGTCGTTCCCTCAGAATTTCTTGACCATGCAGCTGTATAGGCTGTCTACTTGTGGACCCGTTGCAAATGTTAGCAGCAAATATAGCCATTTGTGCTTGCATTATGCACTGAGGTTGTGTATGATTAGCTTCAGGTTAGGGCTTCGTCTAGAATATGTGATGAATAGAAGACCTTTTCACGCGTGGACACAGCCTAAGTCTACGTGAATATACTGAGTGCAGCTAAGGTGCACAGTTACTAAGTCAGAATTTGCTTCCATGGCGGCACGTCCAGTAATACCGTGCCATCATCTCCATGGGCCACCGAAACACTGGATATCCCAATTTTCTCCCAAATTCTGGATGCACCTTTGACCAAACTTAAACCGCCGATGTCTCCCTTAACTTTATCAACTAATTTTCATGACAGTATTACAGTAACATTACAAATATTTAAGTATTTAAGGCCGCTTTCTCGCACAAGAACAGAGAAAAGGCAAATAAAGTAAGTAATTTTAATGCATGCAAAAAGTTCTGAATCCGTAAAGCTAAATTCTTTGTAAGCCTCACACATCAATCCACTGTAGATGAAAACTGAGTGCACTTATTATTTAATAAAGTAGTAGGTAGGTTTAGAAGCCTGTCAACTACCAGTCAGTGTTTCTTCACAGGTCATTCTCAGCATGGCCATCTTCCTTAAATTCATCGGGACCTTATTTCAGTTCAGGTTGGGATGGTTCAACTGTATCATACAATCTAGTGTCAACGTCACCTTGACTTGCCCGATCAGCACGGTCAATGTAACAGAATTTCCAGTCGCTCTCATTGTCTGACTTGGTTTAATTCACAGTTAAGTTCGGGCAAGCACAGCACTCACGCACACAGGCGCGTTAACCCTGAAATCATGAAAACAGTCATATAATTTGCAGAGCCGTAGTGTGACGTTATCAAAATGGGCTTCTCTTGGATACACCTGATGACTTTTGTTTTCATTTTGTCTGATATGAAGGGGAACTATTGTGGGAATTTCATAGGATTAAATAGACATGTACATGTAGGAGAGACATTTCCATGCACACATAGCAATTGTTTTTCCACCTTTTACATGCACATAAGATACCAAGAACTTACACATGACTAACATGATCACAGTTTCTAACTTACACCTACACTATCAAAAGAGCAATAAATTAGAATATAACCCCCTACGAATTTCCATTTCAGCATCGTTGTGGTGCTGTCTGAAACTTCTGAAAGCTTTCCAATTGAACACTTCACAGGCATGCCCTACTTTGTAGGGATTGGGGCTCTTTGTACCGATTTATCTAATGGAAACAGTGTCTTGGTCCAAGGTGTCTCGTATATGTGACTAAGTCAGAGCTTGCCCTGAATCATGAGGTATAATAACAGTGTTTTAGTATGGAGAATCTAAATTGTTATGTTCATGTGAATTTATAGAACTGTGTACCAAATTTTATTCAAGTTTAACTTGCAAAAGCCTATTACTTTCCTTTCAAAAAATAAGGTGTAGTTCAAATCCCCCCTCCAGTTTGGTTTGTGCTGAGGGAATGGGATATTTCCATTGATGCTGTGAAAGTTCCCCCAAAAAGCGATAAAATCTTGTTTCAGTTACATGTACTTGCCGTAAAAAGTATGTATTAATGGTCAGTAATTCTTTGAAAATAATGGAGAATTCAGGTAGCCTACACCACTGTGCACAATGGGAAACTTGCCAACAATGTTGTTGCATGAATTTAAAGTGTGCATGATGCATCAATGGTGTGGGCAGGGAACGTCATGTTGCAGCAGAAAATTTTGTGGAAATACACTCACTTCAAGTACAAGTGGTGCACCTTAAATATAAGAAATACGCTGACAAGAGTGATCAAGTTTGGTAAATTAACAAGCAGAAAACCCTGTTTGACCAGTTACATGCATAGACTGATTGATCTATTTCTGTTATGTCTTCCTTGGCAATTTAAGCATGCGATGTGATGGGAAACAGTGCAGCATTGCTTTATTGAGCATTATTACACACGTTGAATCACTGTGGCAGTGATTTGTGAAACGAACTTTTGAAAGCAGTGAAGTTTCTGTTCAAAATAGGTAAATGAATAAATAACATCATTTCTGACTTCAAAGGTTGAGAAGTGTTTCATGGAGACAGAAAAGATAACAGGATTTTATCTCTTTACTTACTGGTAGAAATTTTAGGGCTACACTGCAAAACAATCAGTCAGAAGCAGAACCATTTTGGCCTAATAATGAATGAACCTGTTAGTAACAGAGATGAGATTCTTTAACAAAACGGAAGTGTTACAAATAGATGTTATAACTTCATATACAGCAGAGAGTATTTTGTTTGCTTTTAAAATGGTGGTAAAGGTGCTGCCAATCGTAGTAGCAGATGTCCACCAACCATGATTAAGGTGGCAAGCGTTTGCAGAATTCACAAATGGCCAATTTTGAAAAGAACCTTTGTGAAGTGACTTTCCTGTGTTTGGTTTTCATGAAAAACATGGTTGATTATAATCATTCATCTTAATAAATTTCTGCAGGTATTCAAGAAGCTACACCTGGGTACAGTATCGTTTGGCCAAGATTCTTCTGATGAGCTGCGAGCACACCTTCTGACCTCCTATTCCCAACCCACTGTACCAACTAGCACCACACCATCCCGTAAACCAGCTGTAAGACGAACGGTAGTGACAAAGGTTTATGAGGCAGTCAAAGCTATAGCACTGTGCCACAATGTAACACCAACATATGAGGATGGAGAGATAAATCCAGAGGAGGCTGAGGCTGATCAGGCCAAGGAGGGCAAAGTGGTTTATCAGGCTTCAAGTCCTGATGAGGTGCGATCACACATCTCATGTTCCTTTAAGTTATATTCTATGGGTAATAGCAACTGAAAGAATTTCGATTACTATCTTAAGATATAAAAAAATGTGCTTAGACAGTTATGGTGGTAAAAATGCTGCTGTAATTGTCAGTTTGATATCAAACAAAAGGTTTTCTCATTTTTGTTTCCATGGGATATTGTAATTCCTTGTAGGCTGATCAGTTAAGCCACGGGCAAGTTTGCCAAAACTTATGTGCCAATATTATCAAACATTGCCACATATTTAAGAAAACCCTCATTTAGAAACACTCGGACTACAGGTAAGTGTGTTCATCTGGTTTTACAAAGTTGATGCTTTTTCTTTTTAGGTTGCACTGGTTTCATGGACTGAAGACATGGGCCTTGCTTTGGTAAAGCGTGATCTCAACTCCATGTCATTACGCACACCTACTGGGGACATTCATAACTATTCCATCTTACAGATCTTTCCCTTTACGTCCGAGACCAAGCGCATGGGCATCATTGTCAGGGTAAGACCTTTGTTTTTCTAAATAGCTATACTGCTTTTCTGTTTGTTTGGGAGACCTTTTAGTAAGGGAAAAATTATATTTGGCTGGTCCTAAATATTACAAGTACATGTATGCTCAAGACTAATAGGTTTGGAAGCAGTGATTATTAGCTGGCCAAACACATTTTTATTCCCATTGATAATACCTTTTGTGTAATTCAGCAAAATTCTCAAAAATAGTAATTTCAAAGCTTTGCTAAAACCCATTGTGTGTGCTTTTTCCTGTTTCTGTTAACAAGTTACTGTCAAATGGCTTGTTTCTGCTTCTGTCACCCTACACAAAAAGATGATTTAAGCATGGAGCTATTATACATAAGGAGTAAGCACAAACAGAGATTGAAAGGGTCAATGATGGGCACCGCAAGCACTGGATGTGCTACAAGGACAAACACGCTCCACTTGCGGGCTATTAGCAATGCTATTAGCATACCGCGCATGTGTATCCATAACACTTCCGCATGTTCAACGTGGCCTCCTTGAGACGGTAACCACCATCATCAGAGACTTAAATTTCGATAATTTTAGTGATTGTTCTGATACTCCAATGACAATGAAAGTCTGGTTACGTCTTGACATCCCCAAAATGTTTCTCTTAACAATAAACAGAATTACTGAGTCATACAAGTTCTCCAAAAATATTCACAGGAAAACTGAAAGGATGTAGCTGGTCCAGAGGAAATTTAAAAAATACACAAAAACATGGGAAGATTTGTTGTCCTTTCTGTCACTGTCCGCAACTGTCTCGGTATGAAACCTCGCCACATTGTCAAATGTATCCCTGCGGCTTGTTTCCACCTTCTTTTAACCTTAGGAACCACTAGAATTGCGACTCATGATATAAATATCGCAGTTCATATTTTGGGTATTCTGCCAGAAAGGCAGAATGTCATAACTGACTTTAAAAACTTCCAACTTTTTGTCAAATAACCACCGCCAATTCAGAATTTTCCAGCGCATCTGTGGCGATCATTTGCTGACTCCTGAGGACTACAGAAAAGAACTACGCATCTTCTTCGTGCTTCTTTTCCACCATTTATTTACTCCAGTATGCCACTGCAAAACACGACAAGTTTGTGGGTTACCATCTACCCGGCGGTGGCGATTACTGTGTACAAAGAAAGTCTAGGCTCTTCGACACTGGGGCCAGTAACCATGCTTTGTCTATGGAGCAGACCGGAGTAGTTAGTTGGATTACTGTCTGTAGGGAGATCATTCTAACTCATTGTGTTTAATAGTTCCATGATTTAAGTATCATGAAAGTGACCGTCGACCAGGCCAAAGTGGCCTTTATTACCATTGGTGAGCCAGATGGCGTTCGGCAAGGAAAAAATGTAATATGAAATTTGTTAACAGCTGAAAGTTTTATTTCTGAATTACAACAAAAACAACACTTATACATGGGTATGCAATCAAATTTAACCTTAGAAAAATTAGAATTTTAAGAATGACTTACTTCGATAATTTGGGTAATTTCTTTTTCAACTGGGAGGTACATGAAATCACTGTATGTGATATTTATGATAATTTCCATCAGCTTCAAAACCCACCCTCGGGGGGGGAGGAATTTAGTTTCTCTGATTAAAATAAATTCATTTCAAAAGTGTCATATCAGTCAGAGTATTGAATGCAGTATAGAAATAGAAGTAGAAATGCATGTGCATGTACATATTGTTCAGGGGTTACCTTGTTACTAGGTGATGTTTTATCAACTGTTTAAGACCAGCCACATACTCAGCTGTCAACCAACAGGAATGGGTAAACTGTCTTGGGTATTTATGAATGAATATCAGTTCACACCTGCCAACTTAGGTGACTACCATATTTGGTACATCATTTTAGCTGAACACAGGGTAATTTGCCATCATGCTATACTGATGGATAGGCAGAAATAGATATGGGTAGATGTGTCCATAGGCATTTGGGTCATTCCATGTCAGACCAATACACCTTTAGACCTTAGATCTTCCAATTTTAATTAAAAAAATGTTGTGCTTCAAGATATTGATGAGTCGTAAAGACGTGCCAATTTTTTATTTGATCCCAGACCAGCCAACTAATAAAGTTTTACCATATTTTGTATGGGAATTTGTTGAAGATACGACCTTACACTTTTCCTCTATAAAATACGGGTTTTTACCATTTAAACATGCCTGAAAAAACCCTAGTTCTGTGAGTGTGGGTTGTGCTAGACAAACAACAGTTGCAAGTGTATAGTAAGCTGTAACACAAGGCTGGACACTGCCCTTCATCATAATCCCGTAAGCTAGGGCATCTGTGATTGGTGTGTCCGATGTCAGCAAATGCATTTGGGACTGGGCCTATTAACCAACCAGACTATTGCATACAGAAGTCCAAGGAATTACGAAAGATGAATGGCCATTGGTACCACATAGACCATGCATGCTGCTGCAGACGATAATTTTAGGATCTAGTCTGAGTATGAAATAGTACTGGAGCGAAATGTTTAAATACATGTATGGCTTCGGCCTCCAAAAAGATTAAAGAAAGCAAGTGTAAAAAAAAAATACTCTGAGAAATGACATTTATTCAGCCATGTCAGAAAGGAGGAAATCACGCACAATATACGTATGCGTGACTAAACACATACTGTTGCCTAGTTCTGAATCAAGCTTGCAAAAGCACGGACCCAACTGCATGCACATAATTAATTTTATGTAATGTCCGAGGAAAAT